GCAAAGCAAGAATCCCACTGTCCGGGCTTCTTGCACCAACAAATTTCACAGTGACCGCAGGCCTCTCCCTGCGGACACTGTCTAAGAAGAAGACGTGGACCACATGCGATGACCAGTTCCAGCACCACATCGAGGACCATGGGCTAATTTTTAGGTTTTTAGATTTTTAGGTTTTTAGGATTTATAAGATTTTAAGGTTTTTTAGGTTTACTTTACGTTAGATTTAGGACGCAAGAGAGGTTGTAGTAGGCTTAAGTTTTTAAGTAGAATAAGGTAGAGGGCAAGTGGACATAATTAGGTTAGTTAATTAGCATTGTAGACCAGGACTAGCTGTAAGTTAGTTTAGGTAACAAGAGAAGGTGTATTAGATTTAGGTCTAAACTTAGGGGTAATGTGCCCACAGTAGGTTAAGGTAGATTAAGGTAGGTTAAGTCAGTGATGTCAGCATGCAAAGAGTGTAAAACACTCTAAAGATGTTAGAATTAAGACTCGTAGATAAGTTAGCAGTAAGAAATTTGTAAAAAATTTGTCTGAATAAATAATGTCCAAGGCGGTTGAAGTTCTCAAGTTAACCCGTGCTTAGTTTACAAGGTCGAAGTAGGCGTTGTTTTTGTGGCGCGAATAAATTTCTCCCTTCTAGATATTAACATCTCATATAAAACATGTTTTCCTCGGATCACTAGTTTCCCAAATATTTAAGTGTTTCGAGCATTAGCAGGCTTTTAGTTGTTAATTTCAATAATTGACTACCACGTCTCCTTCGACATCGAACAATATGCAGTAAGTGCCTGTTTGTCTGTCTGTAAGTTTGTTGTTTAATACGTTGCCGTAGCTCCATAGCTCAACTAGTAATTCTAATGTAAATTTAATTATATTGTGGAAAGCTTGGTAGCTGACAAGCGTTTCTGTTTTCTTATAGTTGCCCAGACCGAATCCCCAATACAAATAATTTAATTAAATATTCTTAGTAATTACCTTTATTTTCGGCACTTATTGTATATACCATGGAATTTTTCCCGTAACCATATTCTGGTAAACTATTTACCTTCCATATTCCCCATGCGTAAAAACCAATTTATCTGATTTTTGACGGCCCGTCTGAGGACATTTGATTAACGAGTCCTGGGGACCTCGTCCAAGAAGGAAAATAAATATATTTTGGTTTTCACTGTTTTTTTTTGTGGTAACCGGTCCGGAGACTGATATGGCGTCATGATCGGGCTTTTTCAAACCGACCTTTTTCTGTTTATATATGGGGTCCAGAAATTTTATTTTAAGCTGCATTTAATCCGAACTGAAGGCTCAGCTTGGCTGGCTTGCAGCTTCTCGTATTCAGTTAATTAACTCGTGCTCCATTTGTATCTCCTTGTGCTGTGTGTATCGTAAAAACGCCTTTCCTCGGTATTTACCTGGTGCTTGGGAAAGTGTCAGTTATTGTGCTCTGAGTACCCCTGGAAGGCCCTGATTCGATTATGTCCAATACTTGTTTGCCTGGAACCCGAGCATCAATTGTCGTTTACTGTCTTCCTGGAATCACTCTCCTCGCCCTTTGTTGGCGTGAGTTCTTTCAGCTTCTGCTATGTTACTGTAGCATTTCCCCTGAACTAATCGCATATCAGCAAATTCGTGAAAGGAAATTTAAAGTAAGTCACAGTTTGACAAATTATTGTTATTATTGACAAGGGCTATCCACCTGTAACTATCTGTTAATTACAAAAAACATCATTGCCGCTGTGCCTTTTCATCAAAAAATTGTAGAAGATAACTTTTTTGATATCAAAATTTTTCGTAATTTGAAGCAAAGATCCTAATTTTTCTTTTTGAATGCTTAAGTATTCCAATAGGCTGCCAAGCCAATGTGGGATTTTTTCAAAATAATGCTTAATAACAAAGTTGAAATTCGATTTTCAACTGTTAATGTCTTCCAGAAATTTTCGAAAAAAAAATTTTCAATATTTTTCTGGTACTCCCCAAGCGAGCCTCTATCACCCCTTAAAAGAATGACGCCAATTTTGAATCACCCCGTATAAACTACAAACCAACCAATGGGAAATTTGGATTTGCCGATCTAAAAAACCCCCAAACTCAAATTTCTGTGGTTCTAGTAAAACTGGTTAAAAATGTAGTCAGAAAAAGCGACATTTTTATTTACACTTTGAAACTGTATCTAGGAATCTATTAACTTTCGAATAAGATAAATTTGCCTGAAACGCAATATTTTAGCCTAAACAATACAGGGTGATTCAAAATTGGCCTCATTCCTCTGGAGGGGTTTTCTGGCGGTGTTTTAGGAGTGCAGAAAAATTGGTAAAACAAATTAATTGTTATTAAAAACTGTGAAATTTGCAAAAGCCTATATTAGAAATACGGCAACAACGTTTTTCAGGGTAACCTAAAACTACGGTAACCATTTATAAACAAAGAGTGATAATAAGATCGACAAGGATAAACGGTAAATTCAACAGGAATCGTTGAATAACGGAACCTATTTCGAAACTCATAACCTTGAATTATTAATTTATTTGCAAAGTACAAAAACTTACATTTGAGTGTGTAACTCCTAACAAGTGCCTGTGTAATCTTATTATGCACTCTTCTCGAGCAGCTTTTCGTATTAGTTTAATTAACTCCTGCTCAAGTTATACGGGTGTTCAGTAATCCATTGGTTTAATATGATCTTACGTACGTGGTAGGAAGGTAGCCGATATTTATTTGGTGCCTGGGAAAGTGCCAGTTGTTGCGCAATGTTCTGTGTGCCCCTGAAAGGCTTTTCTGCAATTATGTTGAATACTTGTTCCTCTGTGTCTGAAACCCGAACATCTATTGTCGTCCACTATCTTCCTGGAACTACTCTCATCGCCCTTTGTTGGCGTGAGTTCTTTCAGCGTCTGCTATGTTACCGTAGCATTTCCCCTGAACTAATCGCATATCCTCAAATTTGTGAAAGGAAATTCGAAGTAAGTCACAGCTTGACAAATGATTGTTATTATTGACATTCGCATCCACCTGTAACTATCTGTTAATGACAAACAACATCTTTCGGCTTTGGCTTTTCCTCAAAAAATTGTAGAAGAGAACTATTTTAATATAAAAATTTTCGTGATTTGATGCAAAGATTATAATTTTTCTTTTTAAATGCTTAAGTATTCCAATATGCTTCCAATTAAACATGGAACACTTTCAAAATAATGCTTAAGAACACAAATAAATAAGTTGAAATTCGATTTTCAACTGTTAATATCTTTTCAAGTGAAATTATCGAAATTTCAGTATTTTTCTCGCACCTTCTAAGTGAACCCCTATTACCTCTTAAAAGGAATGACGCCAATTTTTAATCACCCTCTATGTCAGTGAATTTTTGTACATTAGTTGAGGACCACCCATATCTAATGCCAATTGTTGTGCACGGTTCGCCCATTTCTCTATCGCGAATTTTAAACTAGGTCTACAAATTATCTTTCAATTTTAATTGGCGCTTACAACGTTGTATCTAGGAAAAGAACTGATGTTTGTAATGTGACTGTAATGCGATGTAACAAATTGCGACTTTTTATTTTTGTGCTGAAATTCTACAAGTAAGCGTTTCCTGTTAAACAACCTGCAGTGTTAGACATTGCACGTCATCAATCAGTTGCGGAGGAATAATACGACGGTAAATTGGAATCATTTAATTTATCCGGCATTACAGTGAATGTGGGAAGTAAATCCGAATTAAAGATAAAGTAGAATAGTTCACACTGTTTTATCATCAGTGCTAATGGTATTGTTTCTTAGAAGCTTATTAGGTAAAACGAAAACATTTGAATATGGTTAATTTGATGGTACCTTCATAAATATTGAAAACAGATTAAAGCCGATTAAATTAAAAAATTATATTAAAATGGCAGACCAGGATAGTTTGTGTATGGGTTGTTGAAAGGACAAAAAGGTTTAAAAATTAGACCAACAAACGATTAATTAGCGACGCCCCTTGTGCTGATGAAATTGATAAAAGCGCTTGGCCTGAGCTTATATTCAACGGTTCTTTGATTTACCCTAGTTTTCTGTTTGAAGCTTGTTTAAATGAAATTTCTCTAATTGCTGCTGTAGCGTATAAGAAGAATCAAATTTTCTAATTGGTTTACTTGCGACTTTTAAGCTATTTTTTTATGAAACTTTTCGGAAAAAACTTGCAATGATGTAAGTCTGACAACCATGGTGGTAAATCAATTTCGACCAATCCCCGCTTCAGAAGAACCATTCAAAAATTGTTGAGAGAAGTTTTTCAATAGCACTAACCGAAGTTTTTCAATAGCACTAACCTATGGCTGCGTCAGGATATAAATTTACGAAAGTTGTCAGTCATTATCTTATCGTATTAAGGACAGAACAAATATCGGTTTACAATTCGCGACTGGTATCTTGCTTGCTGAAGAGATTTTAGCTAATTGCATGAATGAACTTTTTGTTTTTATTGTTTGCCGTAACGTTGACAACTACAGAAATGTTGAATAGAGAATTGGACTAGGTTTTAACTCAGTTACCAGAAGCTCGTGTTTCCAACGTAAAATGTTGAGAGTTTGTGCATAACTGTTAGCTGCACTGAGTTCACTATAGGGATCAAAAGATTTTAATTGTTTTTATTTGGGTGTTCCACGCTGTATGACTATTACTCATAAATTCGATGTGAAGAATGTCGATTCTTTTCGAACGAAGGATTTTTGTTACGGGTGCTGGTAGGAAAATATTTCCTTATGCATCGAGCAGAGCTAGGGTTCTGGAGCTCAGGGTGTGTAGAATATGAGCCTGGTTGCTGTCCGTTTAATAGGGCGATTTCTTTTTCGCCGAAGTGGTATTCAACCATGAAAAATGAGCTCCTCTTGATGTCTCTGAAACCATAAAGTTCTTGAATAATTTTGAAAAGATGTTACACGTGTCCTGGAACATCTGGCCCGCGACCCAATGGATCTTGCTATTTTTTTTAAACACCACACTCTACAGGTATTCGGAGGACACAGAAACATTCTAAAAATTTTTAGCTGTAGTGGAGTCGTCTGGCCATAAATGCTTCAATCATTTTTGTCCGTTACTTGCTAAGTTCGAGCAACTTTTTCTTACTCACAGGTTTCACATACCTCACAAACAGCCTTTAGTGGCTATATTCCTCCAGTACTTTTGATATCTATCCAAGCTCCCAAATACTTCTAACCTCAACGGGTTCTTGGTCCTGGCTAAGTTTAGTTGCTCAAATCAGATTCGTTGTGTTGTAATTTCTGTCTAAAGCCTCAAGTTATGTAGCGCAGTCTGGCAGACGTTGTGTTGTATACATTGCGGTGTACAAGTCTAGTTCTGTAATCGTTTCCCCCCATTTTGCGTTAGTTACCCAGGCCCTGCTGGTTTTGCGGCATCTCTACCCTAACGTCTCTTGTAGTAGGAAGTATAATCTGATCTAGAGTAAACGCCAGCTCAATAAATGAGCTAGGTATTAACATCAATTGTTATGTTAACTCGCATTTTTCTATGACTCTCAACGATCAATTCTTGAAACCGTTTCGGGTGAAGTTCCAAAACACTGAAGGTTGCCAGATATTAG